TTTCTCTTGCTTAGGTGGGGGGTTGGACTTGAAGATCTACAAGGTCCCTTCTGACCCTACTTCTATGATTTCTATGATTCGCCAGCCCCACGGAACAAAGCCCAGCAGCAGGAGGTGGGGAGAGCCGGGGCTGTGCTCTGCCTCCCACCACCAGTCTGAGCTCCATGGGGCTGGCAGAGCTGATCAGAGTTCAGCCCAGCAGCGGGAGGTAGGCAGAGCCAGGGCTGCGCTCCATGGAGCCCAGTGCTGGGAGTGGGCTGCACCCAGCACTGGTCCCAGGCAGCAGCAGCAGCAGCAGCAACAGCCTCTTGTCATCCAGCACAGATCTGGGGGCCCACATCCCTGGGAGGAGTCCAGCACAGCCCTGCAGCCTTCCCAGGGGTACGAGCCCCTGGATCTGCGCCCGGATGACAGGAGGCTGCCGCTGCTGCCTGGGGCCAGCAGCAGCATCCGTCCTCCCTGGTGTTGGATGTGGGCTGTGCCCAGCGCCAATCTCAGGTGGCAGCCTCCTGTTGTCTGGCACAGATCCAGAGACCCACGCCCCCAGGAGGAGTCCAGCACAGCCCTGCAGCCCTCCCAGGGGTGCAGGTCCCTGGATCTGTGCGCCAGATGACAGGAGGCTGCTACTGTCGGCAAGCGTCATGAATTTTGTTTCCAAGACTTGGAGGTGAATTTTCTGATAAAACTCTGCACCTATCTCCTTGAAACTTGGCAGGCTTTGTGCCCTTGGAAGGGGCTACCATCCCTGCAATTTGCATCTGAATCGGGCAACAAATGAAAATGGTTTAGGCATCAATCCCCTTTATAGCCTATGGGTGAAACGTTGAAACGAGTCAAAACAACAACACAATTTTGATGAAATGAAATGGGACAGTGCTTCGAGACGAAACGATGAAATGAAACACTGTCCTTTTGAAATGGCGAAGCGGACATCAAAATGAAATGATGGTGTTTTGCACGTCCCTATTAACTAATTCTAACAGTGTGATTTGCATCATAGTGGCCAGGGACCTGGGACCAGCCAGCTCTGTTGGATAATCTTACCCACAAAGGCCCTAATAAGGGTGGCTTGTGGGATGATGTTCCTGTGTCAGACACAAAAAGAGGTGCCCTAGCATCCTGATTGGGTTAAGGGAATAGCTTTCATTTGAGTTGATGCATCCAAGAGCCTGAAGAGGTGCTGGATTGTTTTCTGGGCTGCTTAAGGAGCTCACAGATCTCTGTTTTCCACCCCACTTTCTTTCCCTTTACGGCCTCTACTCCTAAAAATCTGTTCTGTGCTTTGGTTGTCAGTTGCTTTCGCTGCTGTAGGATCCCCTTCAGCTTCTCTTGCATTGTCAAAGTGTGACAATGTGTGTGACCTTTCCTACTATTCCAATAATTGCAAGAATCCATTGTCTTCCGCAAATCCTTTGTTGGCTTCCTTGCCTTTGTCCATTTTAGTTTCCGTCTTTACCTTCAGGAGTCCAAAAAGCTCAATTCCTGTATTTATTTCCATTCTTTTGATCTCTAGCACTGTATTCAGTCCTCACCAGATTGCCCCTCCTCCTCTCCCCTGATTCCACCTTTCTTTAGTCTTCTCCCAACTCTTAAACTGCTTCCTTCTTTTCTCTCCCAGACTCACTCTTTTATAAAGCTTTTTAATGTTTCCTTTTCCAGATGTACCATCTTGTATTTTGACTCATTTGAAATAAAATCTTGTAGTTCCTGTTCAGTTAGCTCAGACCATCAGGCAGTGGGCAGACCCCCTGCAGAGGTCATTCAGAGCCAGCAAACTGCAACAAATAAAGACAGCACTTGTATTTGACACAAGTGAATTTGAAGGGAGTTTTGCCAGAGTAAAAGCTAAAGGTTTTGGTATTGTAAACTCAGTGAAGCAGAGACTGTCTTTGGTAGCTGTGAGACATGGTATACAGTAATGACTTGTATGATGAATCATAACGTAGTAAAACATTAGCCAGAGCCTGTTACATTTTCTTATATTTGATCTTTATCATCTTTGCTGAGTTCTGTACTTCGGCTTTCAGTTCCCCTGATATCTGATTTGCATGCTTGCTCTCTGTATAGCAGAGTACAGAAAACTTAATTTTGTAACTGTTAAATACACAGTGTTTTACATCTTTTACAGGTCTTATTGTTAGCTTTAATATTTGTCTTTGGCTTGTAAATGTGGGAGGGAAGAGAGAGAACAGTTTGAATGTCTTTTATATGGGGGGGAAAGCATGTGTAATGTTGTGTAGGAAGCTTTTTCTTGAAACTGTTATTGCATGCAGCTCAGGTGACTCTTGGCTTTACTTAAAAATCTTACATTGTAAGACCTTGCACAATAGTGTCTGTGTCACATGAAGCTGTTCTCCAACTCTCAGCAAAGTCTAATGGATGCTAAATGTCAACAGCTTAATAGAGTAAGGTTTAGATTACAGAGCAGAGAATCAAGGCTTTTTTTTTGTGAAAGCAAGGCTATTTTACAGAGCATTGTAATGCCTAGACCTTCTAAAGTACTTCATGAATTATCATAAGTTAAACTAAATTACAGTTGTCAAAGTAACTGAACAATATGCATTTCATGACACAGACACACTGTCTTTACTCTCCTTCATTTGTATAACTCATGAAAGTCCCCAGTTTTCAACAGTCTGTCTAATTAATCTTGCTAATGAGTGAATGTCTACTATATCTCTTGTCACTCAAAAGCTTGGGCTTTACCCACAGAATAAGTTTCAGTATATAATGTAGTGGTTCTCTTGTTGGGTGCGGGCTTCCTGCCGCAGGCTTGGGCTCTCTGCCCTGCTGCTTTCCACTGGGGCCTCTGTGACCCATCGGGTGGGACCTGATGTGGCAGGGTAGAGTGGGGCTGGTTGGGATAGCTCGGTGCCACTGCAAGCCCCACACCGCCATGGCAAGGTGCCCTCTGCCTGCCCTACAACAGTGATAAGCACAACTCTGCACCAGGTACCCCCCCAGATGCTGCCAGACAGGCAGGGGGTACTTCACTAGGGTGACATGGGGCTCGCAGCAGCAAGGAGCTTCCCCGCCCAGCCCCTCTCTGCTCTGCCATGCTGGATCCCGCCTAGTGGGTTGCAGAGGCCCTGGAGAAGGGCAGCAGGGCAGGGAGCCCAAGTCTGCCCCAACCCCTCCCATGTACAAATCTTGTGAGAGGGAGCACATGCCCCCCATGCCTTCTCTTGAGAGTGTATGCAGCAGTGGGGAGCCAGACCCATCGCCCATCCCCTAGACGAGATGCCCTTGGCTCTGTTCCGCTCCCCACCGAGGCTCTGTAGGTGTGCATAGCCTCAAGCCCCATGCACCACCCCAGCTGGGCAGCAGCAGCAGTCCCAGCCCTGCCCAACTCCCTCTCCCTTCCTATGTGGGCCTCCATCCCTGTTCCCCCACCAGACTTACCTGTGGGGAGCTGCTCTCCAGGCTGCCTGGCAGCCATGTGTGTGCCCACCTGTGCACATGGTGCTCCCTGCCTGGCTGTTCAGTTCTTTTACTCAGTCCTCCGGACTTCTGCAGTGACATCTTTCGTGAGTAGTGAACTAACAGTAGCTGTTGGAGAGGTGACTTTGCCAAAGTTTTTGTGGATGGTGGAATCATCGAATTGTGCATGTAGCCATGAATCCACCTCACTTTGTTACCATTGTTCTTGTCTTCCCCTTCCTATAGTTTGTCACACTTGTATGAGCTCAGGGTTAGCTTTTTAGGGCATTGGGCCATGTCTTTGTACGTGGATGATGCCTAGTATCGTGGGCTCCACCTTAATAGTATTACTAATTGAACAGACGTAGCCATTACCTGGAGCTAGCAAGTGTGCTCTGTCTTGTTTGTGCCTTTCTGTTGTCCGTTCCACACGTGCATCCACTTCCGTGGTTAGCTTATTATACAGTTTTGGGGACAGCTTCAGGTAAGGAATGACCCCAAGGGTTTTGCTTCTCTGACCAGAGCTGCAGAGGACTTGGCCCATCAGAGAAAAAGGGTGACTCCCACTTCTAAGAATAACAGACAAAGCTTCTTGGGAGCTCACTGTCTCTCTAAGGCACGGTGTATCCTTAAAAAATTGTCTTGGCATATCTGAGCTGGTTGTTGTCACAAGTTGTCTGTACTGGAATGATTATGCTGATGATGGTGTGACTGTATGTGGTATTGCATCTAGCTTATACCAGAATAAAGACTCTTACTTGGTACCAACATCTGTACCAGATGATGTTGCTGGTTAGCTTGTACCAGGAAAATGTTCCCGGTGCTGGCAAAGTAAGTTTCCTGAGAAATATGTGAAGATTTGAGACATATCCATCAATTATCTTCCTTGGGTTGACCTGGGATAGCTTCTGACTAGAATTTGTGGTGGAGGGCTAAATGGGGGTGGAACTGGGAAATGGGCAGAGATTTGCAAAGACTCAGAGTGAAGCCTACCCCAATGAAGCTGAGCTTCTGAGGACCTTTTTTGGGGTGCAGGGAGATGACCAGAAAAGGGGTAAATCCCTTCATGGCTTGGCGAGTTCACTTACAGCCTTTCATTTTTCAGAGGTACTGGGCACGTCTACACGTGATGGATTGTTGAAGCAAATAATAAATGACTGCACAGTAACCACCGTTATTGCACAGTCCTGGCACCGCACAGGTCATTTCTGGCACTACTGTGCAGTAGCTTGTTGCTAGTGTGCAGTAGTGTCAGCGTCATGATTTGTGCCCGCCTGCCAACGCTACACCCCCGTAGCTTGTCACTACGGCGATGTAGCATCTCATGTAGATGCACCCTCTGAGACTTAAATCCAGTGGGAGCTGTAGTTGCTCACTAGCTTTGAAATCAGACCACCAATCTCTCTGATTTAGTTACCCCTTTCTATAAAATGTGGCGAACGTGTGGCTACTTCATAGAAGAGTTGAGGATTGATCTTGTAGTATTGCATGCTGGAAAAGTTCAAGTACTGGAAAACTTGTCGCTTTTACAAGCTAGGTGCTAATGTCTACTAATGTCAATCCAATGTAATTATTTTCAGGATGATGCTGTTAGTATAGAAAGCGGTACTAACACTGAGCGCCCCGACACCCCTACAAACACCCCCAATGCACCAGGGAGGAAAAGCTGGGGAAAAGGCAAATGGAAATCGAAGAAGTGCAAATACTCCTTCAAATGTGTAAATAGTCTCAAGGTATGTATAAATAAGCCTTAAACTGATGATGTACGGTAGGTGATGGTAGTGGTGCCCATTGTGTATCAGATGCGGTGAGTATGGAAATGGTGGTTTAAACAAATGTCTTGCTTGTTGTAAAACAGCTGTAAAATCCTCTTCATGTGCTCCCTGGGGATAAAGCTGATGGTCTTGGGACTGGAAGACTGAGCAGTCTGTTCCTTTTGGTTCTGTCTTGTTTGCATGATGCTGCTCTGTGGTCTTACTCTTCCTGAGGGATGTTTTCATTTTAAAATCTGTAAGTATTGAAGCTCATGCTGGGATTAATCAAAATGTTTGCAGGTTTTGGTTCTAAGCTACTGAACGGAGTTCTGTCATGCTTCAGTTATGTCTGTTTACTAGTTTTCATCTATATTCTTCAGTTTCAGGCACTTAAAAGCTCTTCTGAAAATATTTGGTATGGGGAAGGAAGGGAAATACTGAATGTTTTTTATCCATAAGGATCAACTGATGTTCTAACAATTCTTGTTAATTGTGTCCATAAATTGAGTTCTGTGGTTTGAAGTCATGCTCCAAAATTGGCGTCAGCACCCCCATTCATTTAATAGCTTCTGAATTTTGAATTTGAGTGTTGGTAATTATACTTCTGAAATCAGGTTTTTTTCTGTCTGCAAGGAGGTTATTGCATTCCAGATTTTTTTAAAAAATGAGTAGAGGGCTAACCAAAAGCTAATTGAACTCAGTTTAAAGGTTCTCAGTGACTTAGAGTTGGCTCTAAGGAAAGATCCTGTGTAAGGAGAGCCAAAATGTAAGAAATTATCAAGGTAAAATTTGAGTGGTGTTGAGCAGGATAATTTTTAATAGACTTCTCTTAATTCTCATTGGACTGCACAACAGAAACTTGTATACTGACAAAGCTATAGAGCCCTTGAGGTTGGGAATCTCTTGCTCCAAATTAATCCTGCAATTTTGAGCAGTATTGTGGTAATGAATGCAGTCAAAATGATCATAATTAAACATTCTATATGATCTGGAAACTTCATTCATGACCCTTTGGGAAGCAGTTTGTACCACTTGGTATGAGATTTACTAACCTTTGGGAGTACATCTCTTGTACTCTAATGAAAAAGCAATGCAACAAGTTAAAGAAACTGAATTTTATGTTATTATCCAGTGGAATAAAATGTTCCCGTTCTCCTTCCCTATCATCTTTACTGTTTTTGTCCCAGTTTGTCCTTAAGGAAAACTTCAGTTGTGTTCATTCTTCACTGCTCTGGATGTAAAATCATTATGATTAATTCTGAAAAAAACATTACTCTAAAAATGTTTTTCCAACTTTGGTGTATGGGCAACTTTAGGTGTAGCTTAAGTGCCAGGAAAACGAGGAAGTATAACTTTCCAAATAAAGCAGCCTTAATTTCCTGTTAGTCTTACGCTACTTTTTGCAAACTAGTTATTTACATTCTATAAAGGTAACCAGAATCTTTTCCATTTTCTGGTTAGGATGTGGTGGGAAGTGAGAACTGGTATGTGTATAGACTCAAAGTTTAAGAAATAAATAATCCCAGTACACATGCATATGCACTAGAGTCTTTTCTTTTTAGAGAGAATGTGTGAGTCTCAGAAAACAGCAGTTTTTTGAGTTAATGTCAGTACCAAGGGTATAAAACATATTTGTCCTTTGAAGTCAACCTCAGATTCTTGACATGATTATAGAGCTAGCTATCCATGTGCCCCCTCTTGGTATCTGGGTGATGTTAATAGTTTTGGTCTTGGTACCTGCTTCAGGGTGTTATTTCTGCAATTTTCCCCTACTCTAACCAGGAGCAAAGTCAAACTACCTTATGTTTACAAACTGATTATCACCATTGAAACTCTCTTGACTAATTTAACTCCTTTATGGTTGTATTTATGTATATAGGTCTGACTGAAGTGTGGTCATTTGGGTTGCCTTTGTGACTTGTGATATAGATGCACAGCCTTTCGAAAATGTGTTGTTTTGTGTTTGTTTGTTTTTTTAGCAATCAGAACAAATACCAGAATGGGGAACAATTGATCTGTATGACTTGCCTTTAAGTAGTGGTGACCTAGGCGAGCTTAATTTTCTGCAGCACCTTGGTGGCTTGTCTGTGCTGGAGAGATGCTGGCATTCCTGTTTAAGGGCACCCATTTGTAGGTTGTCTGGCCATCTTTTAAAAATATCTATTGATTGATCAATATGTGTGTGTATGTGTAACATGTATGTAAACAGACAGGAATTGGCTGAGACTGTGAAGGTGGAAGGTAATTTGGGTGACAGCAACCACAAAATGATAGAGTTCAAGATCCTATGGGGCGGAAGGAAGGCGCACAGCTGAATAAGGACACAGGACTTCGGAAAAGCAGCCTTTAGTAAACTCAGGGACTTAGTGTGTAGGATTCTATGAGAGGCAAGCCTGAAGGGAAAAGCCATCCAAGAGAGCTGGCTGTACTTTAAGGAGGCTTTTTGAAGGGTGCAGGAGCAAGCTATCCCGAATGGTGGAAGAATGAAAAGTGCAACACAAGACCAGCCTCGACTAGACAGCAGTCTCTTCAAGAAGTTGAAACCCAAAATGAATTCTATAGAAAGTGGAATAAAGAGGGATTCTATTGGTATGTCAAAAGTAAGAGGAAATCCGGAGAAACCATAGATCCCTTGTGGGATGCAGGAGGCAATCTAGTTAGAGAAGGCTGAAGTATTTTAATTCCTTTTTCTTTACTTGAGCTTTCACAAATAATGACAGCTCCTAGGTGGCAGTGCAGTTGGCCTTAGAGGGAAGGAGACAAAAAGCTTATAGTAATGGCAGAACATGTTGGGGAAGCTAGATGCTTTCAAGTTGGCAGAGCCAGATAGGGTGTACCCAAGGGTACCAAAGAAGCTGGCTAAGGTAATTTCAGAGCCATTGGCTATCCTCTTTGAGAACTCATGATGGTAGGATGAGGTCTGGATGATTGAAAATGGGCAAGTATAGTGCCCATCTTTAAGAAGAGGAAGAAGGAGGATCCAGGGGGAACTACAGACCAGTCAGCCTCACCTCAATACCTTGAAAGATCATGGAGCACGTCCTCAAGTAATCCATTGTGAAGCACCTAAAGAATAGGGTTATCAGGGAAAGCCAGCATGGATGCATGCAGAACAAGTCATACCTGACCAAGCTGAATTCCTTCAATGATAAGGTAATAGGTTCTGCGGATGAGGGGAGACCAGTGGATGTGAAAGAGCTTGATTTTTAGCAACATTTTTGGCAGTCTCCTGACGGTCTCATTAACAAGCTAAGGAAATACAGACTAGATAGTTTTGTAGTTCCTAGGGTCGGAAGGGACCTGAACAGATCATCAAGTCCGACCCCCTGCCGTGGGCAGAAATGAGTGCTGGGATCATAATACCCCAGCCAGGTTGTTAGTTATTAAAGGACATCCATTTTGGTCACCACTTATATTGTTTTTTAAATTTATATTTGCCCTGTTCAGGAAGCCTCAAGGCCACTTAAAATAAATAATAAATACCCCACAGATAAGGAACAATAGTAGACTCTGCAAAGTACACCACAAAATGTGAAAATTTGAGTCTTTGTCTTTCTTTCCCACTACTGCTTCCCTGCCTCATACGAGCAAACGCTGCAGCCAATTCTAACTGTACTTCCCAACCCACATGCACATCTAGGCATAGGAAACCGCTTCCCATTCTCCTGCCTCAGGCCCATGGGAGTTCGTCCCCTCAGCGTTACTCCCAGGTCATCTTCCGTGGGAGTAACAGAGGGTCTGTGGCTGTCCCAAAAAAACTCCCTCCCAAGAAACACAACATGAAATTCAAAAGAACCATAGTAGAAAGGCCATCTGAAGGGCACCCTTAAACATCACCCTTTGGTGGCATCCCAAGGCAGGCCTCACCTAGGGTGTTCTGTAGGACCTCCATGCTGTCTGGGTCCTTTTCCCTTAGTTGGGTTGGCCAAGATGGTTATAAGCATCAATTGTCTTATTAGCTTTTAAGATTTGTTATAAGTGTATCTGTATCTTTTATAGATTTAGATTGTGCACAGTTATTTTAACATTTGGCAGTTCTGTCCTAATTCAACCAAATGCTTGGAAATCTATTTTAATTGTTAACTTCACAGAGGTGTTGTAGCTAGGAACATAATCACCATGTTTATACTGGGAACCTCTACTATTTCATTATAGTTGCCTAGTTAAAAAGTAGGACATACAAGCTGCTACTGTCTGCTTGTGCCTGTTATGGACAGTTATAACCCGTATAGTTTTTACCTGTACTTCTGATACACCTTATACTGTATACCTTATACTACGATTTGACTAATAGTCTGGATGTATGTTGTATTAGTATAAAGAAATATTCATGTAGATGTAATCTGGCCTACACTACAAAGTGTTGCTGGCACAGCTACATTGGTTGGGGGTGTCAGAAGACTGTGTTCTCTATTCAGAATAGCTATGATGGAAGAGGACCTGTCATTCAGAGCTGGGTGCTGTGGCTAAAGAGTCAGAAAAAGCGCTTCTGCAGGTATATGTTGCGTCTTCCTACAGGATTCTGCCACCATAGCTATGCTGGCACAGCTAGAGACTGTGGGCTTCTGGTCTCAGACACAAGTTGCCTCTTCTAAGGTCACATGACAAAAGCAGATATCAAAAACTACAAATAGAACCTGGGAGTTCTAATGATCAGTCTCAGTCTTAAATCATTAGACAAAATACTTTCTCTTTCCTTTTAAAATGCCAGAGAAATAGAATGTACCTTAGTACAGTGGTGTTCAAGCTTTCAGCTCCTTGGACCAGATGAATAGTGTGGGGCTGGTTCGTGAGCTGGGTCCCTCCCAGATTGGGCCCTATGCCACACCAGCCCTGCATGCCCAATCTAACTTTACAGGGTCACACTGTCTGCCTGCAGAGCTCCTCAGAAGTCCAGAAATTCAGAAGCAGGGGAGCAGCAATTAATGCTGTCACTGTTCCTATGCTGCCAAATTTTCAGGCCCTTGGAGATGCCTGCTGATTGAATGACTGGGCTCTGCAGGCCTGATGTGGCCTGTTGGCCAGGAGTTGAGCACCCCTGCTTTACTGGCATTAAGACAACAGAGTTTGTGATACAAATTTTTAAAAATGTTCATAAAATTCATATGCAAACATAGCAGTGTGGGAAGAGGCTGCACCAAGTAAGTTAGTTTGCCCTATTGGAATGAGTTTCATTTCTTAGAAACAAGTGTCTGTGATCTTTGTCCCTTTGCATTTCTGATTTGGCTTTTCCTTTACAGGAGGACCATGGCCAGCCTTTGTTTGGAGTGCAGTTTAACTGGCACAGTAAGGAAGGTGACCCGTTAGTTTTTGCCACTGTAGGCAGCAACAGAGTGAGTAACAGACTCCATTTGTACCTGATGTGCCCCTGTGGTTGTCTTTGTTTGCCAGTTCCTCTTTCTTGTTCCAGTCACTCTACTTATGCTTTGTGTTAAAATACTGTGCTGTGAAATGGTGTGTCTGTTTTCTCCCAGAGTTTGTAAATGTGCCCAAGAAAAACAAATCCAGTAGAGTGTAGTGTGATGGTACACTTGAGCTATTTGAGAATACAGTTATCTGTTTTATTAAAACCTCTTCACTTGTGGGAACCAGTGGGGGCCAGCCTTTTTAATAGGCATTCCACAGAGTAGCCCTGTACCCTCCCCAAATGCCTCTTTGATTCCCTTCCTCTGCTTAGTTGGCTGCTCTGCTTTCTGTTTCGTGCCCTGTGATCTCTGCCCAATCTGCTACTCTGTTTTCTACCCGCCACCCTATCTGCCACTGTCGCTTCCCCAGTCTGCTGCGTTCCACATGCACAGGATGCCTGTGCTTGTGTCACGTGTGCTGCAGGTTGACCCCCTGATGTAAACAGTAGAGATACAAATGTTTTTCCCCTGAAGTCTAGCTTTTGGAGTACTGTGTAAAAAGGGCTAAGAGATGTGGAGTGGAATCTATGTAAGTTTCAGTGTGTCAGCTACTGACAGTACCTAAAGATTAGTAGCCTATGTTTTCATGGATTCTTAGTTAACAGGCTTCCACATCTTTACAGCTTCAGAAATAATTTGTTTCTGGAGAGCATCTGGAGCATCTTATGTATTATGAATAAATGAAAATTCTTCATTTTCCAAGGTCATCCTTCTTGCAATTTTTATAAGCACTAAACTAAAGCATTAAATTAAACTAATTAAAAGAAATGAAACAAGCCACGTTTCTATACAAGAGAAGTTAAACTAGATACCAGTTGCTTTTTAAAATTGGAATCCAGTTAGAACTAGATGTATTAACTTATTCTAAGGTATGAAATACGCTTCATGTTACAAACCTGGGAAAGGCCACCATGAAGACTGCTTTCTTGAGGCAGAGGTTAAGACACTATGAATGTTTGCATCACACCATTTCCACATGACACAAAGGGACAGATAGTGGGTGGGCTCTGTGTAGTAAATGCATATCACATGTTCTATTTGAACATCAGTATGCAGCTGCTTTTGGTAAATACATGCTATTTAACGTGAAAGTAATAATCCGTTCAACTCTTTCTTTTCTCCTTCCTCCCAGGTTACGTTATATGAATGTCATTCCCAAGGAGAAATCCGTTTATTGCAGTCTTATGTGGATGCTGATGTATCCTCCAAAAATGATCTGTTATAGATAATTTTAGAAGATTAAGCTGAGAAATAGTTGTTTACTCCTCCTCAGTGTACCAAAATTGGAGAGACTACATAGGAAAGAGAATGAATATATTTCCTGGGATACAGTACTATGAGCACATTTGTTGGTGATAAAGTACATTTTTCACTATAGGTACAAACTTGCCTCTGCCCAGAAATCTTCTCTTCCTTCCTGGCAATTGATATGTTACACCTGTTTCATATCAACTGAAGCCTCCTAGAACTAATACATTGTACAGTGTTTCATGTTCAGCCTTCGCAACGTCCCCATGAAGCAGGTGGTGTACTCCTTTTCAGCAACAGAGAAATCAAAGCAGTTGATATAAGATGTGGGGTTGAAACCTGGCAGTTCCTGGCTTGCAGTCCAAAGCTTAAACCAAATCATTACTGGTAAAGGTCTTTGTTTCATTCCTACTCTGAGTATTTTTAATGGAGGAGATGGGATAGCAGACAAAATACATCATTATAGACGTGTAATTTAGAATGAGGGCATGACAAAAAAGTATTACAGAGAAAGGTAGATTTGATATTGATAGAAATATCAATAAATATTTAGTCTTTGAGTACAGGCCTCTGGACACTCTCACAAAACCGTAATCGGGGACCTACACCAATGTGTTGTTCAAACTTCTTATGCAAAACTCTGCAGCTGTTCCTTTAGTCCTTAACATAGCGCTTCTTAGGCAGATGAAAACTTTTATACTTGTGCATGGACCTATGATAGCAATACAAGTCATCCTCTTCTGGCTGTGGCTGGTTCCAGGGGTATTATTAGGATAATTAATCCCATTACAATGCAGTGTATAAAGGTGAGTGGTCACAGTCCCAAACTTTAGGTTGTACCTCAACAAATTAGCAAACAGTAGTTTCTGTTCTAAACTTACATTGATGCAAGGGGCAGAAATAATTTTTTTCTCTGAAATCTGTTCCAGCACTATGTGGGCCATGGAAATGCAATCAATGAACTAAAATTTCATCCAAGGGATCCAAATCTCCTCCTTTCTGTAAGCAAAGGTGAGAACATGAGCTTTTTTGGTTAAGAATCATCTACTTAAGTTAGAGTTTGTTCTTTACATATGATGCTGGATGTGAATGAAACTGATGGAAACCCACCAAAACACAGAGGTTGACAAGTGACTTAAAAATGAGTCCCTGCCACCCCCACCCCAACCCTTGAAACTAGACCAAATTAACCTCTTTAGTTTTACATTTATGTGAAACCCACTGACTACATTAGAAGGAATTCCAGAGGACAGCATATAATCACACTTTGTAGAAAGGAAAATACATGGGTATTGGGGAACACAGCTGAGCAAGCCGGTGTTGGGCATTGTTGGAACGTTGGGATAAGGATGACTTAAATTATTTATTTATATGCTGAGTTGCCCTGACATCTAGTGATGAGATGAGAACATTGCAGATATTGTTCAGCATTAGAAAAAACAAATCTTGGTTTCAGCCTCCTGTCAATCCAGTGCAAGTCAGTAGATCTCTGTTTAATTTATTGGCATTTATCTAGGTAAAATTGGTGCAAGTGAAAGAAAGAAAATGTAGATATTAATATGGGCTCTTTATGAATTTTATTTAGAATGTCCAGCCAATCATAATCTCTAAACCAGGAGTGTTAAACTTGTCTGGCCCCATCCGGCATGGGGCTGGTCTGTGGGCCAGATTGGCTGCATAGACTCCCTCCCCCATTCTCTTCCCCAGCATACCTGACAGACAGCTACTCCAGCCAGGCTGGGACCCGTGCTACATGCAGCGCAGATCCCAGAGCACCTGGAACAGACACCATGTGAGGCACAGTCTGGCTGGAGCAGCAGCCACAATGCATGCAGTGGCCTCCCCAGCAGCTCTGGGACACACGCTGCAGATGGTGCTGCTCCAGCCAGTCCAAGACTTGCACTGTATGCAGCATGAGTCTCTGATTGCCTGGAGCAGGCACCATGTGCAGTGCATGTCCAAAAATGGGCACCACCTGTGGTGCAGTGCACCGTGGCTGCTGCTTTGTCCAGACTGCATCACACAGTGTGCCTGTTTCAGCTGCTCTGGGTTCTGCCTGGAGGGTGCAGGGGAAGGGGAAGAAGACCAGGTCTGTGAGCCTGATCAGGCTCACAGACCTGCCCCATGCCATGCCCCATGTGGCTGTGATCAGACCCAGGGGCAGCACCAGGAGTGGATGGCATGGTTCTGCAGGCTGGTTCTAGCCCACAGGCCATATGTTTGACACCTGTGCTCTATAACAAGAATTATCAACCATGAGTATTTCAGAAACTAAAAGCTGCTTTCAGTAGTACAACATTATGGAAAAGACTGAACAAGAACAGGAAACTTTAATTAATTTCTGTAGCTAACTTCATGCACAGTCTGATCTGTAGGACACTACATTTCCTAACTATTTTTTATATACGTGTATAGTTGAAACTTTGAAAGTCTAGGCTGCATGATTCTTGCTTATTGTAAACTTGTATGTCTAAGTGTAACTTCCCAGAGAATACCAGATGGTGAAATCTTGTAACATTTGTAACATTACCTGAAAGACGAGGGTAGAGTAGAGAAGGAGGAAGTAGTGCAATTTGTCTGACATGACAGCTGGCATTGTAATGGGGAGCTGAGAAAACACTTTCTTTCTATATCTGATGTGCTAAGTGACACTGTAACAACACACAGCTTGAATACTGTTGACACTTGTAGTAATCTGAGAATGTACTTGGTGTACTGTAAATACTAACATGGAATTTCTCTTCTTGAAAGTGCTGGCTAAACTGACTTTGTTCAGGTACAAATGCATAAAGGTTAACTTGTTAACTTCTGTGTTTTTATACCAGATCATGCACTGAGACTGTGGAACATTCAGACAGATACACTGGTTGCAATATTTGGCGGAGTAGAAGGGCACAGGGATGAGGTTTTAAGTGCAGTAAGTAGAAAATAGAGGGTAGTGATTTTAGATTTATGCAGGGGGTACTAATCCTGGTTAGTTTGTCATTTTATCCTTTTGTGTTTTGTTCAGCTTTACACGTTATGTCTCAAACTGCGTGAACAAATGAATATTTAAAATGTAGCTTTATACTGGACTTGTATAGTCCAATGCACTGCACTCT